CACAGTTTGATACACACTGTGTTAGATCTTAGTGCTTGTAATTTGGTATTGTAAAGTGGATATAAATCTATGTATAACTAATTTATAGATACTTTAGAACAGAGGTGGAGAGACAACCATGGAGTTCATTTCATGACAGGTGACATAGCCCAATTATAACAAGTCACCGAGATGCGCTGTCGGCCTAGATTGGCTTTGGACATTCGGAAATCCAGACTCAAACCGACAGGCATTTAAACTTCACGGCTTTTTATCTCTGGACGGTGGTTCGTGATAGATTTTTGATATTTTTACCGTTGTGGTTTTTTATTGTAACTTATTATCCCATTCATAATAATAATCTTGTACTTACTCAATAAATTAAATCTCTCAACCGATAAAATGGTCGGCCCCTTGAGTTTGGTTATATACAGCATATTATAAATGATATGTTAGTAGGTACTTGTTACTTAGGTAATGGTGTTTTAATTAAGCATTGTTTACACTTTGAAATCCCGAACAATTTTCTAGATTAAAAGTTATAAGCTGGTCTGTTTAATTTACTTGGGTTCAATAAAAAGAAACGACGTAAATAATAATAGCTCATTGATGAATTCAAAAGATAATGTAAAAGAATACAGTCAGTAGGTAAAATTTTGCGTTGATCGAGATGTAACTCTCAAAGGGTCTCAAAAATCGATGGCAGTACGAATGAAATGCTAAAGTTTTTGTCCGCATTTCAACAACAATATTAATTTTTCAATATTTAATTTCTACCTACTTTATTGTTCTTTGAATGATTGAGTTCAAAGAGGCCAATAAAAATGAGAATTACCTACAACTCAAGAAAAAGAATAGTAGACGCGTATAAATTAAACTTTTAAAGATTTAAAACGCATAATTTAATAGTTCACTTAATTTTAAGTTGCTGCAAAGCTTCAGAAACACCGGGCCAATAGTTTATGTATATTAAAAATAAGTTAACTAACATATTTTAGAGTTCAAACCATTGAAAGTGTTGCATAAACTACAGACAATATTTATTGGGCATGTAATTGATTTATAAAGAAATTGTTGACACGAGAAAGACTCGAACATTCAACAACAGCGTTGTTTAGTTGTTATTACCAAATCCGCCATTGAGAGTGGGAAAATAACAATTACTCCACACCAAAAAGAGTTCATGTAATTTGTTTAATATCCAAAAGTCATGTTAGAGTTTTACCCTTATTGGAATAAACAAGCTTCTAGTCACAAACAAAGGCTTTCAAGTAAACCAATAAAATCAATAGACGATAAAAAAACTCGTACAAAAGTCTAAGCCAGCGTCTGTCGTGAGCACTAATTTGTTGAATAAGATCAGCTAACCCATTATCAGGGCGAGAGACGCTTTGTCCACATTGTGCCGGTCCATTGTGCCCGTTTCTGGACAAAGACCGTCCTCAGAGGTGTGAGCCCTCAGTTATCTTTTCTTTGCGTTTTCAAAAGCGTTTTGTCTACATTTGGAGGTGTGGAGCGGTAACTAGGTTTGGCGTTAAGGTGTGCACAGTTTCTATGGGGTATTTAGATTGCTAACTAAACATACAAGAAATATCTATTTGGATTTACCGTTTATTAGAACCATCCATGGCTTAGTTCAATATATTGAGTTGAGCGCAAATTGTCATAAATTCGAATTTGTGCGGGTCACAATTCACAAACCTCAATAGTCATGAATGAGACACATGATATTTTTATTATTGTGCCTGCTATGAAACGAGATTGAGAAAAATGTTAGATTTAAATAAAACATTTTAACGGTTTAAAACGAAATATATATTAGCTAAATTTGTTTGAAAATTATTTTAACTACGGCCCGACGTTTCGGATGCTTTGCAGCAGCCGTGGTCACGGTGAGACCAGCGTAAACTACAGATAGTATTTAAAAATGTTAGACCTACTCTTTATAAAGGCCCATTACTATACTCAAAATATGATACTAAAAGGTTTCAAGCGTAACTACTAGTTAAATCATCAAGTTTGGCTTTGAAGAATAACTTTCTTAAAGCTTGGCAGATTGTCTGTTAGCTACATAAGGACTTGAATACAGATGTAATTTGAAACTTGCTTATTTAGTTGTTGGAAGACGAATTTTATATTCATCAATGACACATTTAGTAGTCATACAAATTATAAAAGAATTTGCATTTTCAATTGTTGTTTCTATATTTTACTGCATAGTATAGTTAGTATAAATACCCAAATAAAAGATAGATAATTGTATTCACTTAGGTATAAACCGTTAAATCTGTCATCATATTGATTAGATCATAGAACTCCTTTAAAGAGTGAAGGCCTAATATTAACGGTATTTTTAAATATTTACTTTTTTATTTTATTTTATTCGAGTACTCTTGTAAATGAACCACCGTAATGACATGTTTCACCGCAATTGTTGGAGAAATATATTGATTGGACTTTTAAATTTGTAATTTAATAGTCGTTTGAAAACGGATGGTAAAAAAAACGAGATTTTTCCTTCTCTCTTTGGATAGGTTACAATACTACGAACTATAGTAAGTACTACCATTGTACAACGAGTGCTAAGTAATTTTATTTTAAAAGTTGTATTTTAACAGACGTTAAACGATGAAATATGAAACAACAACAAAAAAATATTAATAAGTCTATAGATGGATGTTAAATAACATATTATCAACAATGAAACTGACTTTGACTTATTTGTAATTATAATATATAAGAGTTTTGTATACTGATTGTTTGTTATAGGACCTACCTAATGCGGCCGTCGCTTCGCGCAAATCTACAATTAACAAAATTTTATCGAAATATGCCCCGGTTAAAATAGTTTTTGAAAAGCAAGTACGCAATTATTAGTGTAGATAAAATCCGTTTTCCTCCATGGGGCATGGGGTGAACATATTTCTCTGTCCGTTTTAGCTTTCAGATCAGACTTCTGTGTCCTATCCGGCCAAGGCAATTTATTACCACGGGTTCCAAACAAGACTGTATAAGTTTGTTTTAAAATATTATTATTTGATAATATTAATTTCAATATACCGCAATAAGTACCGCAATGTGCAAAATAATTTCATAATTTATATAATATAAGTGTAGTGTGTATTTAAAATGTGTTTATATAATCAATCTTTTTTTTTTTACTTTTCCTGTCATAATAAAAAAAATGTTAACGAAGTATTAAAGTTTTTTAACCACCTAGATAATTTTAAGGTGTGTTTAAGTTGTTCTAGAACTTAGTGGCTTACTTACTACCCTTATAAATGGCTCATCCAACAAAAGATCTCTTATTCAAGATAGTATAAATAATTCTTAGAAAGCTCAATATAGATTTTCGATAACTTAGTGCGTGGGTCACACTCCGCGAGCGTTATAAAGAAACCCGAGCCTGACAGCTCGCACAAAGCGTTTTGTCTTTATAAAGACGCTAATTATAAAACAAAATAAACGCTAATTAATAGCACAAAGACTTCGCGTCGCTGCGCAGGCGATTCAAAAAATGCTAAATCCATCTGTACATTTTAAGTATGTCACCTTTTTGACGAAATCGTTAGACCAATGGTACCGATCGTTGACTAAAATCCAATGGGTCATGGGTTTAAGGTAGATTCTAAATTCAATTTATAATTTTTCCAACACACGTTAGACTTTCTTAGGAAGATCTGGATATTAAATATGAGGAATATCGAAATCCACAGACGGAAATACGTAATGCGTTGCGTTTCAGCTTTAGTCCGTGGATTTCTGAATGTTCAAAGCCAAAACAGGTCGATATAGGCTTGTTTAGATGTTAGGTATATTACGGCTATTTCACCATCAAGTGAAGGCTATACTTAAGTGTCATCCGTGATCATAAAAAAGTACTAAATTGTTTTTACGGTTGAATTTTACTATAATAGAATTATATTTCTTTAAACGTCCGACCGTTAACCTAAAGATATTATACATTAAAAATATTGGGAGAATATTAATCAATTTCAATATTTCTTTTCCAAAGTTTCTTTACAATAGTAAAACAAATAAACAAACAAAAAATATTTCATGGTTAATAGAAAAATAAATAAAAAAAGATGTCTTTATATTATCAATAAACGATATATAAAGCGATGTTTAATTAAGTTTATTTATAATCTGTGCATAAAACAATGATCGTATTAGTTGTTTGTCTGATTTATAAATGAATGCCTACCTATCTAAAAAGTGTAGGTATTTATAAGGATTTAGATATTGTATCAAATTAACTTCGGAAGCTTTAAAACTTAGGAGTGTTAACTGTAAGTAAAAATTGAATGTCTTAATAACTTACTATACTCACAAAGCTAATTTAATTGATTTACTTTTAGTTCCTAAAACTATCTTTCATTAAACAAAAGGGTTGTTTTAATAACTCCCTTTTCTCATAGTGAAAGTAAGCTAACAAAAAATTCAAAATAAGCAAGAGTTTTCTTATAAGCCTACAATGAAAATTTAAAACTTCAGTTATTAGTTGTTCTCTTTTTTTATTAGAATAAATTAAGTAAGATAAAACCGTTTAATACTTTAATATTAATAATATTGTTCATTAAGAATAATAAGTTATTGATGACGTAATAGTACGTTGACATACCAAATAGGAATTTATAATATTTATTTAACACCTAAGTATATCTTAAGAAAAATAATTCAAAAATATTTATTTTATCTTTCTTGATTAATAACACGTTTCCAATTATACCTATCAGATTTATAAACACCGTTTATTACATCATTACAGCCGTTTCCGACAATTGGTATAAATCGACATTATCATGTTTTGTTATTGATAAATATGCTTAGGTATTTCCCTAAAGTTTAACTACTCAAACATTCATATTAATTATATCTTTACTCTTTCTCTATACTTACTAGAGACGTTTTTAATTCTACAAAACTAACAATTAAGTTTTCACCAAGCTCAGTAAAGTTTTCAAGTTTTATTTTTAAATACCCACGCTAGAGAACTTATTTTTGTCTTAGTGACTTACCCGGTGGAGGATGCAGCAAAGGGGGGCCGGGTAGGAAAGCTGCGGCAACTGCTGCTTGGGCGTTAAAAGCGGCGGCATAAGCCACACGGCTTGCCATAGACGCTGGCAACGGAAACTGTGGCGCGTAGGGTCCCCTCGGTTCTCTGTTCTCGGATAAGTTCAACACACGATCTTCCCGGTTCTCGAAATAGCGGTCCCTGGTGTCCCGGGAGTCCGACAAGCCCAGCAGTTCTTGGATCGCGAAGGGCGAACGCTGCGGCGCACGAGGCGCGCTTGTACTAGCACTCATTGCTTGCATTTTCTGTCCTTAACTTGACATATTCATCACTAACACTAGAACGTTCGATCACTCAATAGAGAAAATTAATTTCTCCAAGTTTCGAAATGAAACGGACAACGAATGCGAATGATAACCGCACGGCGACCGTTCGCTGCGACGTGCCGACCGCATCTGGTCTCCGCCCGTCAGCGTGTAACAACGAAACCCCCCTGGAAGCTCGGAACGCGGTTTCGCTATTGAAAAATCTTAATTCACCACCCTCCCTGTACGGCGCCCGACGTTTTGGAACTGAGGTACGGAACCGCTGCGCCAGTTACTAAACGGCGAAACACTGCTGTGAATCCGTGCGACATACGCCGTTCTGCGGCGCGCGCGTCGCCTCCCCGCGTTAGGCGGGCGGAGTCTGCTAATAGCCAATACGGATATTTTGTTACCGCACTCTATTGGCCGGATTTCTTCGCGGTGTACACGCCTACTCAAACTTGTGCCGACTGAATTGATACTGCAACACTTCGCGTTAAAGCTTAAAGTGTTCGTGTCGGTGGTTCGATTTAATTTTGATTAATTGTAAGAGCCTTCTCGCGGCGTTACGACGCTACGCGGCGACTGCGGCCGCGACAGGTGATGCCGCAAAGTTTTCCCGGGCGAGGCGGAGGCCCATAAGGCTAGGGGGGGTATTAATTTACGTCCGCGAATTCACACGAGTGTATAATATCCCATTATAGATCATTACCTACCTGCCATATGATTCGGGGGTAAAACTGCGCCAAAACAAAGAAAGCTCTTTTTACGCCCACATAATATTATTCACAGTTTTGTAAAGATTATTTTTTGCTCATTTAGTGTTGCCTAAAGCGTGAATTATACGCGAGTCCACCACTCTAAAAATTTCATCGCTTCTTCCTTTTAGAGGATCGCACCTTTTTGGTTTTAGAGTTTTGTGATCGAGCTTTTTTATGGGTTATATCTACTTACTTTTAAAATAATATCTCTTAAAATCAAAAATTATCATACCTACATTATTAACATATTAAAAAGAAACGTCTTCTAAGTTAATTGAAAAATTTTAGTACGACCCTTAAAAATCTTATAACAAATACGTATAGGTATGTAAATTTAACATAATAAAAAGATCTCGATTATCTTAATTAGGTGGGTAGGTATCTTGGAATTAAATGCGTAAAATAAGCAGTAAGAATTTATATAATAGGTACCTACTATAAGAAATTGTCTTAAGTTTTTTTTTACTCAATATGGATATATTATTTACGAATACTATAATAAGTATAGTTATATTAGGTATAGACAAATGAAAATGTGTTGAATATTACTTATAGAATTTAAAGGAAATCCATGCCAGTTTTAAAAACCTCCTAAAAAATCTCCTTTAGGTTCAAGTATTATTTTGATCATATTTTTGAAGGTGTTTTTAAAAATAAATTAGTATTTAGTAGTATGTATAATATAATGTAATTTTTTCGTTAAATAGCTAAGTGTGTATCTGAATGTTACTCAAGAAAATACATGAAACTTATCTAATAATACAAAAATGACAATAGATAGAAATAGATAATTTTACAGTTTTTAAATAAATTTTTAAGTATAAAATGTAATATATTACGTATACCATAATTTAAATTCAGTCAAGTTTTTGTAATAAGTTGTATTTCTTTGAAAAAAATTAGTGACCTACGGAGTTATGTACTAAGTCTTAGATTTGTGTTATAATTTACCTACGGTAGTATCTAGGTTGTTACGACCATAACTAAGATACGATATATTCCTTTAAAAGAGATAATTTTTATAATTTTATCGGAGTTTTTTCTTTTTTTTCTTTGATTCTCTCCTCTCCAACATCAGAAAATATTGATCAATCTTATCCTCTGCCATTCAAATCTCCTTCATTATTGTACTATGCAGGTATAATAATAAAGAGTTAGTAAAACTAAAGGTAATTATTATTTTTTAATTGTTTTACTATTCAATAAAAAATGTTTCTAGGCATCTAGACGAAATGCTTTGTATTATATCGATAATAAAAATCAAAACTAACGCTTTTAGATAACTAGCTAATCCATAACTATTGTTTCATAAATTATAAAAGTTTATTATTTGCTTGTTTATAAATGACAGAAAGATGTCATGAATACCATACAATACAAGATAATAAATTTGTTCATTTTGAGTAAGCATTTTTTAAAACCTTCGTGTTGATCCGGAATATTGTTTCACTAGCTATCTATGTTAACTTTTAATAATTTGTAGAACTATTTAGAGAACAAAGAAATATCTTTTCATAGATTACAAACTAATTGATATTTAAAATATTGGAATTTGATATATACTTAGGTATGAACTGTTAAACAACTAACCTGCTAGAATATTCCATTCTGTAGGTACCTATATAATATGTTACAGGCAAAATGTGTTGGAAACGTTAAATAGAGCCATATCGATTACTAAACGAATCTTTAAGAGTGTATTTAAATAATATTATCAATCTGTCTAGGTAGGTAATATGGCGATATACTAAAGCCTCAGAAATTTGAGATAGAAAATTTGGTATGAAAAATGCATTGAAATGTTAATGTTTACTGTAATTGACAGCTTACATAAGTTTTAAATCATTTCCGACTAGCCTGTTGTTTGCTTGCAAGGTCAAAATAATTATGTTCTAACACTAACAAATCATAGTCATTGATAATAATGGTAATCTTGATGATGCACTCAAAGAGTTTGCTTGTTCGTTTGAATAAACGAACAAGCAAACTCTTCAGCTTTATAATATTAGTATAGATTTATTATTTTACAGTATGACATGACCGGGACTTGAACACGAAGACAACATCGGTCTGTTCTGTTGCCATATCAAACGTTTAATAATGGTCGTATTGTGTAAGAAATTATACAAAAATAATATATTTAATTCTCTTTCAAATTATTTAGTTTCGTCAAAAAAAATGACAAATGTTTGTCTGTCTGTCCGTTGCGATTCTACAGAGTTGCAGAGTGCACACCCAAGAAACTCAGTCCGGCTTTTTTCAACAAAAGACATGTTTGACAAAGTAATACATTTTTGTAAATTCATTAACCAAAGGAGCAATTCACATCACTGCCAGGCAGCCTTGTCCTTAAAGAAATCGCTTAAACAATAATACGCCTTTGCAGACAATCTAAATGTTATGACTTTTTTTAATTTATTGATAAATTTGCGACTTAACTGGCAATGTACATACGAATGCAATTCCCCGCAAATGAATTACTTATTCTATGGGCCTATATTTAGAGATAGCTAGCTTGCTTATTTCTTAAGTTCAAAATATGCCTATCACTATTTTTGCTGAAATTGCTTTTATTCTTATGGGCATACGATACATTTTCATAAATATTCAGCACAGTAGATACTAATTCGATTATTCGAATTAATTAAGACCGGAATCTGATAGTCGAATAGACATAGAAATAATAAAGGGCTTGTTCAGGTCCAACATATTTCTAAAATGAAATTTAAAAACCTTATGCTGGGAATATCGAAGTTGCACACGGGTCATGATGTACTGTCCACAGCTGATATAGCTGTAAAATGTAATCGCGGTTGGTTTCAGTCTGTGGAATTACGAATATCAAAGCCAAAAACGGTCGACATCTTGTTTAGCTTGTTTTGTCTGCTTGTCCTCCCTCGTCTATCATAAAAAATTGACCCTATGTTTATGCTCCTCTGTCAATACTAAATAAAGATAATAAAACTGAGACATATAAACATACTGTATTAAGTTTAATAAATATATTTGTATACTATATTTTTATCTTGTAAACTCAGTGGACTGTTGTTATTTTTGCATTCTAATATTTTGACATATTTTTAACACAACCTAGGGCTATTATAACTAGTTTCTTTGTAATTCAATGATGTCATTACCAATCATTTAGATTATACAAATTAAATAGTGGAGAAGTGTAGTACGCTTCTATATTTACAAATAAATAAATGATGAATATTCGTTCGCAGTTTCAAATAAGTTAAAAAAAAAATCATAACATAAAAGATGTTAGGAACTGAACGTATGATTGTTATACTTACGGATAGTTCTGGAAAAACAAATTTAAACACTAGTAATAACTACATTAAAAATCTATTTACATTGAAAAAAATAACCTACCGTGTCCTAAATGACGCATTTGATTAGAGCAACAACACGGAACGCTGTAGATCGAGTCTTAACCGTGGTGTAATTTTTTTCAATCTAAAAAGAATTTATATAATGCCATCATGTGAAATATACCGCCTCTGTAGCTAAATGGTTAAACGTTATCCTAGCGCTGCGTTAAGCCTGAGAGAATCTATTGTTTCCCCGGGATTCCAGGACCATAATAGATTTGCAGTTGCAGTCGGTCAGGGCACAGAAGTCTAATTAACTAAGCTGTAAATAATAGCAATCAGTGAAACGGACATTTAAATGTGTTCGTCCCATGGCCCACGGGGAAAACGGGATATCACACATGTGCAATGAAGGTGCAGCGAATATGGAACAAAAAGATAATCGGTTGTAAAAACGATTAGAAAAACACAGTCGTATAATAGTGTTTGTGTGCGGCTATCAAAATATTGAAGTCTGTAAGGCATCTTCAGGCGTGTCACGTTACAGACGCGACGTGAATACGTATTGTGTGGAGAGACGCAAAAAGCTCACATTCGCACGCTCTTTTTGTTTTTTTTATTCCCGGATTATTTACCTGATGAGATTTAATATTATGTACTAAAATTATATGTTATGTATTTATACTTTACCAACATTTTCATAGTATTTTAATATTGGACGGAGTTCTTTGTCTAATGGTAGCAACGGATGTTAATAATCAATGAGTCTTGGGTTCGATCTACCTACCGTTGTTTCCATCAATTTATAATATTTATATAACATATTGGACTTCCTTTAAACTCTGGATATAAAATGGGTGGTAGGAATATCGGAATTCCGTCCGGGGCACGAACCACCGACCACATTTGAAAAAAATCATGAAGTTCAATGGCGTTTCGTTTTCAGACATATGCAAAGCCAAAATCATCAGACAGAGCATCTTGCTGAGATGATATATGACTGGAGTAGTTTACTTTCCAATCAGAAAATGTTACAATCTACTTAAATCCCACCACTGAACGAAAGAAAAGGTTTTTAAGAGCTTTTCGCCGAGGTTAGGTTACCAAGTTGCCTCGGTAATTACTTCTACCAATAAATTAATGATCCGACATTTAACATGGTCTCTGAGGCTCCAGAATCACTATAAGATAGTTTTAATACTGGTTGCTACTGAAAAAATG